TTCCTGTTGACGAAACCCTTATCGTGAAATTACCATAAAAACGAAAGTCCGCGTCTATATAGCCATAATTCATGTTGCCAAATGGCGAAGAAAACTGCAAATATGAGCAGGTCATACGCATCGCACCTGCTACGCATCTTATTCCCAGCGAGAGCACTAGGAAAATAAGAGAGAAAAGGTATTAGAAAATATCACGGAATAACAGTAAAGAGATGCAATATAGCTTTTATTATGAAGGAATTAAGAATCATAAATTTTCTCTCCTCCCATCTCAAATTAAATATCAAATATCATTATTGGCCATTTTAGGCTTATGTTGGAAAAAGGGTGTGGGGTGACAGGTGAACTGAGCATTTATATATTTATATATTTATATTTTTTATATTATAGTTTTTACTTGCTATATTATTTTTCTTTGCAGTTGGATTTGACAATATTTTAGGATTTGTTCTGCTTTATATATAGGTGGGCCAATCAAGACCTGGATTGATATAGTCAGAAAAGGTTTTGAACGTATAAGTGGACCAGCAATATATGGGCTTAGACGATGGAAAAAGGAATGACTTCTATTACTGTCGACTGTCGAATTACTGTCGACAATAGTATCAAACCGCGCCTCTTGGAAGCGCCTTACCCTTGTAGCCGTTGGAGCCAGCCTAAACACTAATGGTGGGAACTGTTAGAAGAAGTTACCAGTAATCTATGAAGGTTATCATTTTCAGCTTTACCATAGGAATTATTGTCTCGTGCGTAGTTTTTCCAATGATAATTGACGAAGATACGACAAATTTCGTAATGATGGAAATTACTGTTTACTTCTACTGTTGTTAATATAGAAAAACAAAAAAAAATGCAGTAAATAAAAGTGAAAGACAAAAATCTATATTAAATGATGATTATATAGTAAAATTGAATTCAAAAATTAAGCAATAATTCATGAATAAAGTGGTTGAAAACAGCCGCTCGCTGGGAAAAACTTTCAAAAATAATGGATTGAAAATAATGAAAAATAATGAAATAATGGAATAATGGAATAATGATCTTTTAATTCTAAAATCTTGATGGCACTTTTTTAAAAATAATTGAGCAAGCTTAGAGAAAAAATAAAAAGTACTGAAAAATATAATGAAAAATTAATAATATTAATAAAAAAGTTGCCGAATCTTGTCTTTACATATGCATAATGAAGATTTTAAACGATATCAATAACAGTAAAAATTTTTCGATTTTACATTATCTTATTTTTGTATTTATCCTCTTTTATTGTTTTAGTGTTGCATTTTTTTAAGTTGCCGCTTTATCATTATTATTTATACAAATCCATGCAAATGTTGAAAATTTGTCGAATAAAAAATTATTCAAAATGAATATAAAGCAATAATTAATAAAAAAAAACCTAAAATAATATTGCAATATGCATGAAAAAAATAGAAAATTGACATATTTAAAATAAATTCGTAAAGTATAAAAAGTATATAAAGTATAAGAACTTTAATTTATACGAATACTTAAATTATAAAGTCTAAGAAAAACTTTATTTTTAGGCCACAAGTGTGATTTCATAATAAATATTGTTCTTTTAATAAATATTGTTCTAACATCCATATAACAAACATGCCAAACTTAGCACTAAACAGTGATTAGATAATTTCTCCAGCATTCTTCTTTATTTTTGACTTTTTTTAAGGCCATTTTTTGTATATTAATTAAATGGTAAAATCGCCACCTCGATATTACACAAATAAGTGGTTAGCGTCCACTAATTCCGGCTTTGTTTCGCTTAATAAAAATTTTGGCTAGGAAGGTTGAACGTAGCTAATCGTCAGCAGCATTTAATAATGAAAATAAGTTTAGTATGAAGTTTTAATTAAATTTGTTCGTCAAATTTTAAATACGGTTTATAAAATAAAATAAACAAACGAAAACAAAAATAAAACAAACAAAGATATTAAATTTTTGTCGTAGTATATATTTGAAGAAAAATTACTTATATGGCATAAATTATATGAAACTTAAGAAATAAGGAAAATCTGTAGGAATTTGGATGGGCTGAGAAAAAAATTATAAGAATTTAAAAAATAGCCAAACTAGTTTTATTCGCTATTAAAGTATTAAAAAAGCTAGCTAAAATTTTGATTAAAATTACTTTAAATAAAAGTAAATTCCTAAAACTGAAAATTACGTAATTCGTGACAAAATTGCATTTTCGCACAGAATAGTACAGATTTTTTATATTTCTAAAGAATATGGTAGTTTTATTATTTGCCTAGAATAATTATCTATTATTACGCAATGAATAGCGCTTAAGAAATTAATACCTAAAATTTATTTTATATGATGATATATCACGCACATAGGTCAATAATAAGTAATTAATGCTAACTACCATATCGTGGATCGAATAAAAGTAATTGAAATATAAGGAATCAGCCATCTTCTTAATGCAATCCGGGCATGATGCAAAATGATCCAAAGGTTCATAAATAAAATTTGCTCACAAAAAGATCTCTTCCGGTGATCCAACTGAATGTTTTCAGAAGAAGTTGCCATTTAGCAATTCATCATTAAAAGATTTTAGATAGATTAAAATTAAAAATTATTCAATATACGGGTGTAGTATTTATATATACATATTTAAAATATATTTAATGCTATAATTACTAGAAATTTATTTATTAAATTATTTAAATTTATTTAAATAATCATTTATTTAAATTATTTATAATTATTAATTATAATAATTCTTTATTTAAACTTCTTTATTTAATTAAATAATAAGCTGGATGGTGACAATCTGATATAAAAAACAATAAAAATGAGCAAAGCAGCTATTGTTTTTTTTAATATTATTCGAAGAATGAAGTAAAATATGTTAAAATTAAAATGCGAAATTATTGATAAAAAAGATTTAAAGCCTAATCATTATCGTAAATTATTTGATTTTTTATTTGTTGAAATTATTTAATTTGCTTTTCAGACTGGTAATGAAAAGTGCAAAGGTGGCACACTAAATAGTTTATTTCAGTAAATGATACTGGCAGTGAAAAAAGTGCCTTTCAGATAGATTTAAGGCAGTTTCAATCCATTGCTTCTGGCAGGATTATCATTCAAATGAAAGTTAAAATATTTACAAACTTAGAAGATGGTTTGAACTTAGATCTAAATCTAAAATCTAAAATTTGGAAAATAAGAAAAAGATTTATATTTTTTGTCCTTTAATTTTGATTATTAGATTTTTAATTTAATTTTGATTATTAGGAACAACAAAAATTACAAAATTTCTGATTGAGGAGTCTCTGATTGAGGAGATGTAATTTCTTGAAAGATTAGAATAAAATGACTGCGATTTTACGATAAAAAGATAAGTTTTATTTTCTTCCGCGATATCTGTCTGCCTACCATTTTTGACAAATCTCGTTTTTTTCACCAATCTAAATTTTTAACACAAATCTTTATCAAATTTGTGACAATACTCCTTTATAAATCCGAAAGAAATATTTATGAAATGAAAAAATACCAGTTTTCAATCATTTTTCTTTCACTGACATCGGATTCTAGATCATCAGTAACTATAGGCCATCTCATTTTTTAAAGATAATCCAAAATTATTCCATTATAGAATTATAAATAGCTGATGAAGAAGCTCGCCCAGAGGGAAGGGTTTGGTTCTTATTCCTGATAGGAAAAAATCTCATTAAAAAGTCCTGCTATTGTTGGTCGGTTCATCTGTATTTCTATTGTTGATTGTCTTCTTACTTTTTTGTATAAAATATGGTAGAATGTCATAGGATGTGAAAGATAGTAATAACGAACTACTTGAAATTCACAGTGTTCAGAACAATTATAAGGATCCTTAACTGGATGGACTCGCATGTTATTTAATATACTATTTTATACTGTTTTAAAAGCAAAAATTATTATTTCTTAGTCGTAAAACTGAAACAATTAATGAAACATCTTTATTGCATACCTGTTTCGAAATGGTGATAAAATACATTTGTATATAAGTGGATATGATTCAAACAGTTTTCATTAAAGAATTCATTTCAAGATATTTCAGCGAAAATTGTGTCACTTTGATCGCTGATTGTCTTATCCTGCGAAATTCTCCTTTGCCCTTTATAGGATTTTATTGCAGTTTTCTTTGGTCTTAATTGATGTTTTAGTTTTATTTTAGAGTCGTCTTATTTTAAGAAAATCTTTCATGAAAAATCAAACTTTCTGAAATCTTATAAAATTTGATATCCATTGACATTTTATTTTATTATTTTTCAACAACAATAACCAAAATTTTTGTTCATTTTTCTTGATATTAATTGACTAAAATAAGAAATTCGACTCTTTTATTTATTCAATTCAATTCATTGATTCTTTCGATTCTTCTTCCATTTAAATGATTTACTGATCTGACGATCGTTGCCGAAATTTCGTTTTTATTTTAATCAACGTTTACACTTTTCAAATTATTTTTTGACTGTGGGTTATTCATATTTAATAAAGAAATTTAATTTTGTCTATATGAAGAATAAATTTGGATAATTGGATAATTTTGGCCTTGCTAAGACAAGCCAATTTCTTAAGGATCATTTGAAAGTCATTAAAACTTAACCGATTTCTCCACACAATTTTTCTTACTATGATTGAAAAAAGTTCATTCTTTGAATTTTATTTATTCTAAAGTTATCTTGGAAAATTGGCAAATTGGCTTATCCATGGCACAAGCAGCAACAGTCGATGTAAATAAGGAAACCTTCAATGGAAAAAACAGTCAATTTGCAGGCTTATCCATGGCACAAGCAGCAACAGTCGATGTAAATAAGGAAACCTTCAATGGAAAAAAATCGATCACGAAAATTTCTCAAAAACATATATCATATATTAAAAATGGAAAAAAGGTTTAAAATTGAAATTTCAGCAAGATTTGTCTTAATTCACTTTGGAATTTAGCCTTTTTACTAAAATTTGAATGATAGAATATATTGGAATATATTTATTTTACTTTGCAGATTACTGAAATATTTCAACTGTCGCCTTCAACGGTGTTCTTTATTGGTTTTATACCTCCAGTGATTGGAGCATTTTTGTCTATTGCTATTGCTTTTTTGTTTTATAACGATGAAATCAGCAACTATAATTGGCAATGCGGGGTAATTATTATATTTTACTATTTTTCATTTCATCTTGGTTATCATTAATTAGTTAAATAAACCATTATATAAATATAATTAAATATTAAATATACCATTTCCAATAAAATATTATTTATATATCATCGAATATTTTTTATTTTTTCTATCACAACACTCTATCTCGTTATTTCTAGTTATTCTACGGGCTATTAATATGAAATACTTTGGGTCCCAACATCATTTGGATTTGATGACAGGCTATTTTGTCAGAGATATCAAAGGTGAAATTATGATGCCTGAACCGATGGCTTATTTAACTGCAAAATATTTAACTCATCAATATTAAATAAAATTTTCATTATTAGTGTCTAAAGATTTCTGGAGATTATTATGGCCACATGGTTTTCATAATATTACTGCTAAATAACTGAATTTATTACCTAAATTTGCGCCGTTATAATATGCTTCCAACAAATAATTATTGTTTTCTGCTTATACATTTTTTTAAAAATTTTTATTTCCCAAAAATTCAATTTTTGTGACCTTCGCCTTCAAAAAGTTTACCGAAAATTTCACATCCACTTTCAAACATCTTCCCTATCACTAGACTAAGCAATAACCTCTCAACCATATTATCCTTGTCTCATTTTGACATTCGCACGAATTTATAAAGATTAACAGAAAACAATTAAAGAATAAAATAGAAATCTGTATGGCTCCATTTTTATAGAAACATCCTTTTTGGAATTATCAGGTCTTAAATGTAAATTTGTAAAATTGTTCATTAAAATTGCTCATTGCTCAACAATATATTAATTTTAAGTTAATTAATTAAACTAACCATTGTTAGGCGAAAATTGAACTGAAGATTGCAGAATTTTAGAAGCTATTGATTTCAAAAAATTCAAAAGTGCTGTTTTAAAGATTAGAAACAAATTATGAGATGGCTTAAGTCTCACTGAATTTCTATTTTTTCTCCTTATTTAATTTCGTTTGATTCTTTCATTATTATTCTCCTGAACTTTCTGAGAAAAAATTTTTCAGCGAGCGCGGTTTCCTTCACTTTCACGAATAATAAATTTGCCGCTAGGACGAATAATTTGGCAAATATCAATTCTCGCTCATGTTCCCGTTCGATTTATCGAACTTTTTACAGGATGTTAGTTTCGAACCAATTTAGATTTTAAATAGCTTCTTAAAGTAGTATTTCTTACTGTTTTAGACTCTACTCGAATTAAAATTCTTGAGGGAATTCAATTTCAGCCTGAAACTTTTCTGTGGGAAATTTTTTTATTTTATTATCAAATTTTTTTTTTTTGAATTTCAAAAGTTTATGCTCTTTAGATCGAATTTTATTCGACTTTTAATTTCCAGTCATCTATTACCATATTAAGGAAAAAATATTATTCAATGTTTGTTGAAATTTCTAGGAAAATTTTTAAACTTCAAATTTAAATGAAGAAAATTTTATTTCAGTAAGCAGATATAAGCGATTATTGAGTGTGAATTATAAATACAAAAAATACTATGAACTTTATCGATATACCTATTTTTATAGCGGAATGATCGAATTGTTATTACTTAGCGGAGTCTCCATTATTGGTGAAAGAGAAAGTTCACGTAATTCTTTTTTTCTTACATAACAAAGGAAAATAAAAATATGATCCTTCAAACAAATTTGAGAATTTCTGCATTTGCAATCAGAATTGCATTTCCTGGAATTTAACGTTTTATGAAATAAAATCCATAAAATATTATAAATTTTGTTAATTTTTCGATATTCAATTTATGAAAATTGAAACGTGTAGTCTATAAAATTTATTTTATTTATTTTAAATTTATTTTATTTATTTTGAGAATTTATTTATTTTATTTTACATTTATTTTATTTTAATTTATTATAAAAACGATTTTTGCAAATATAGAATCTCTTTGGGTTTTTAAATATTTTTTAAGTAAAAAAACTAAAATTTATGAAATATTAAATATCTTAATTTTTAAAATGCTTTTGGTATTTTTATAGCATTATTCATTAATTTTCCAATTTTCAGGATTACATGTTTGTTTATTTTATTTGTATGGTCTTTTCAGTATGATATTTTTTATTTCGAACATTAAATGTCATCGACAGTCACTTTATTATCTCAATCCTTACGTAAGTTGCTTTGTAATACTATTATACAAGGATTTTTCTGGTAGTTGGAACTTAACAATTTTAGCATTTTTTCCTTGCACTATAGCAGTTATGAATAACTAAGAATATTTTGGTACGTCTACCAAAATTTCTATACTTCCTTTCTCCTATTTTTCACTTTGTTTTTTTATGCAATTCCATTATTCACCCGTCAATAAGGGCTTTTCTTAAACGCTTTGCTTATTTGCTTTAAATGAGCGACTGAAGAATTTTTAAGAACCTCAATTTTTTTAATTTAACAATCGAGGTATAATTTTCATACATCGGACCATCAAAAATAATTAATATATTTGATTATAAATGATTATAATTGATACAGTGGACAAACTGATATAAATGGAAAAGAAACTAAAATGAAAAAATGAGGTTACTGTATTTGTGATAATTATTCTCTTTGCCTTTATTTCTAGCAGCCACAGCAAATAACCAAAGCTTTTAAGAAGTCCCAATATAGATTAGGCTAACTGCGTCAAAGGCGAAGAAGATGACCTTCGACGGGATGCCATACATCGCAGGACTTAGCAAGTAGCGAGACATGCTGCAATTCTTGCGATGGCTGGTGATGAACATAGCATAACTTTCTGAAATGCGAATTATATTTGGGAAGGTGGATATAATCAGCTTGATATATACGCCTGGAGCGAAGTGTTTGAGAATGAGACAAAGTCGTCAAAAATATATATACAACTTCTTAATTTCCTGTCATTTGACATTTTTTGCAGCCATATAATAAAATCTTAAAAAATCGCAGATATGAATTTTCATTTTGACACTAATTTCGCGACAATTCCATAAAGGTCATGCAAAAGAAGGCATTTTGCCACTGATTTTTCATAAAGGGATCCTAATTCTCGACTTCTCATGAACAATAATGTATTGAATTAATAGTTTTTCTTGATAACAGTTAATGATCGTATAATATGATAAAGAATATTTCTGACGACTAGTAAGTATTTTATAGTTATAACATATTTATTTTGAAAAATATTCAATTCAAAAATTAAAACGGATAATACAGTATTCATTTATAACCATAAAATAGCCATTTTCTCAAGGGATAACATTTAAAGGGACGAATATCATATTATGCCAAAATAACTCTATGTATGGGATTTTTGACAACAGCACCGATTCTATTTTGCGCATTCATGCTTTATTGGAAAGCATGTATTACGGTTGGTAAGTAATTTTCCTTTTCAAAATTTCGTGTTATCTTATGCTTTGCCAAAATGTTTGTTTTTATTTTTAAACAATTTTGATATTCCTAATTCGCCTTAAATTTCTCCATTTATGGTTTTTTCGTTCTTCTCCTTTGTTTAACCATCTAATACCCTATTAAAATAATGCAGAATAAATCTTTAAAATCATATAAATCATATCATAAGCCTTGACGCAGTTAATAATCGCTATCATTTATTATCATCTTATTTTCATTAATGCAAAATCACTTTTAACACTTGAATATCAAGTTTTTTTGCGAGCTGTTGTTATCAAACAAGGAAAATTTGCCAAAATAGGGCAAAAATTGAATTTTGACAAATTAAATTACGAAATTTAACTTCTGCTATTTACCAATGAATTTCATTTCGTTCGTTTCAGCATACGATATTTTTGCATTGTGTGAATATTTGGAAGTGGCTTTTACCATATTATATCATGGTTGTGCATTTTTTGATATCAGATACAAAGTAAAATTCAGTGTAAGAGTTGCTGAAGAGATTCAGTCTATTGAGGACTCGACAATATCAGCAAATTTGCAGTTATAAAATTAAGTTTTGCTAACAATTTTTTGATTTTCTAATAATATTATTTTATATAATTGTTTTACAATGTTTTTAATATATTATTTATTTGTTATTTTTCACCAAAAAATTCACAAACCTTATTTTAACTTTATCAATCTGTTGTCTATGTTCGCTCCTATCTATTAACTTCAGTGAATTCACCATTAAGTTAGCTCCGCCGTTTATTAATAGAGCTAAAAATTCTAACAAGGAGCCATTTGGGGTCAAAAAATACAATCACCAGCATTATCCATATTTTTTGATGTTTTATTGGTTTCCTTTGCCAGGAACGCCAGCCAAACCTTTGTATCTTAGCGCCACTTTTTTTTTGAACCACTTTTCACTTGGTTATCCCACAAATTTTATTAACTGCTAACATCCTTCTTCTTTGTGATAAAATATAATAATTAAGCAAGAATATAAGAAAATAAGATGTATTTTATATTCCATCCAATGTAAGATTGGATTAATACATTTCATAGATTTTTATTATTTTGAAAGAGCGTGATCTTTAATATTGTCACCCTTTTATTTATAAAGTTCTATTGTTCATTAACTTAGAAAAAAAAGAATTTAAATGAAAGAAACAAATATGAAGGACTGTGAACTGAAATTAAAGAGAACTAAAATTTGAATCTTAAATGTGAAACTGAATTGGGATTAGTAAGCTTTTAATTCTCACGTGAGTTACTAGAAGAAATTACATAGAGACAAAGTTGTTGTTCACTATTCACAATTTTTTTCATATTTTCTAATACTATTATATTTATATTATACTATTATTATACTATATACTAATATCGTATACTGTATACTAATATCCTTTATTGATCATATTGTGTTTTTTTTTTTTTTTAAATATCCCTTTAACGTTCCTAACATATATATTTGTCTATGTATAAAAGCGAATGGCATTACATGCTCATAAATAAAACTCGTCATTAATTGTTCCACGCTAATTTCTGAAATTATATTGGCAAAATTGGAAGCTAAGAATTAAAAAATATCAAGATAATACAAACAAATGGATAAAATTTCAAATCTTAAAAAAAATTTCAAATTCATCACACTTTTTTTGATTACATTTAATCATTTTAACTTTTTTTTTTTAAAGAGCCCTCACCATTTCTGATTAGACTCCCTCCGCTGGCTTGTCGCACTGGACAAATATGTCAGAGAGTCCTCCCCAGGCGATAGAAGGTAAATCGCCCAGCATCACTCGCATAAAACCTCGGCGCACCGAATTGAATAGCAACCTATTGAGCCATTCTACTCCTTATAATTTTAAAAAATAACAATAAAAATCATTTTAATAAATATCAGTAAATATCACTTATACGTTTTTAAATATCTGTAATATCCAGCAAATTTTGCCAAAAATTTTAATAACTGAATAGTTAACATCGTCAGACAATTAGCAATCAGCTCATTTGGTAATTAACTTAGAATACAACTTAATTTACACTAGCATTTGTTGATCTTAATTGATCTATGAAACTACTGTAAATCGAAAGATATAAATTGTTTTAGCCATTAATGAATCTTAATTTTCGTAGGCCTATAGTCTTTAATTTACCCAAAACCGATAACTTTTCCCGTTTTATTTCCCCACAAATTTTTCTCATGTTAATTATCAACTATGCGATGAATGAACGGCGAATTGCAAGAAATTTACTGAAATCATTCACTTACCCACCCTTTAAAAAATTACTTAATTTCATATTATTACCATAAAACATTTTTTAAATATTCTTTTTTGTCCACTAATGACTTCTTAATTTTTTAAAGAAATTATTTTTAAACTTAATGAATCCAAAAAAGAGTATAGTCATTTGTGATAGAATTACATACGGGTTTTCATTATTACATCATTTCACTTTTATATTTTCACTCATAATCATAAATTTACGCTGTTCAATCTTGCTATATGGTGCTGAGATAGCCAATGAGAGTGGAGGATATAAAGAAATTATCTGGCTTTGACTACTCTTGTCTAAGGTACATTTTACTGGTCCGTTGAGCGGATAAAATATCACATGATCACATCCACCTTCGTTCAAACATGACCTGTATTAATAATTACCACAGTGCGTTGCCTTCGCTGATTAGATCACGTTCTCCGTCATCCACCACAGGAGTTGACGCATATTTCGTTATTTGCTAAACCATGTGATGGTTGGCGTCAAAAGCGAGGTGGACCAATCAAGACCTGGACTTATACGGTCAAGAAAGATTTTGAACGTATAGATGGACCAGCAATATATGGACGATGGAAAAAAAAATGGCTTCCATTATTGTCGATGATGGCATCAGACCGCACTGTTAGAAAGCGCCTTATCCTCGTAGCCGTTAGAGCCAGCCTAACCAGTAATGAGATAAGTTTAGGTGGACCAAAGAGCTGATCTTAATAATAAACCATCTTGTAGGTTAGTAAATCAAATCAAATATCGGTATTAAATATTAGAAAAATTATTTAAAAAAAAAGCAAATGTGACTTTTAATTTACTTTTAGAATATAAAAAATTGATTCAATTTTTCCAGTGATTAGTAATAAATATCACTTCATAATTCAAATTTGACATGAGATTTTTTTTAAAAGTATTCTAAAAATGTTTCAAAAAACAAATCCAGAGAAATTGTGCGGGCAATAATTGTGCACAAAGATCATAATCATAATAAAAGATGAGCAAAACAAAAAAGAGATTTATAAAATTTTACGGATTCGCTCAGTAGATAAAATCTTTTTTTTTATCATTAATTATTATTATTTGTCATTTTACCTGTTGTTATTGATACAAGCATATGGCGTTGTCGCCCTGCTTGGCTGGTTTTTTCAATAAATAAATAAAATCCTATATGATCGCATCCATCTTCGTTCAAATACCACTTGCATTAAGTACCGTACTATCAGAGACGCTTTGGTTAATGCACGTTTTTTGTTGCTCAACACAGGATTGACATATATTTCATTTCATTACTTTACCTTTTGATGGATAACGTCAAAAGCGAGGTGGGTCAATCAAGATTCGGACTGATAAAGTCAGGAAAACTTTGAACGTATAGATGGACCAGCGATATACGGAAAATTAGACGATGGAAAAGGAAAGCTTCTACTGTCGAAGATGGTATTAGATCGCGCAAGTAAGAAATGCGATAGGTAAGAAATTAACGTTTCACTTTTTCCACTTTTTTGCTGTGGATATAATCTGTACCTGCATCAAATGTCTCTTCATAGCTGAATAATCTCACAGATGCAGATTAATTGCAGCTATAAATTTTGAGCATTCGTGACGATTATTAATTAAATTGAATACATTGCTTTGTTTTATGAATTATGAATTATCCTTTCATTTAATAATCAACTTGTACGCCAGTTTATCTCAGACCCCACATTTTTTGTCGCTTAATTCTTTAGCAATAGTTATTAAAAACCCATCTTAGTTTTTTGCTTTTTTAAAGGAAATTTATCATTATTAATATTGATGAATATTTATGGGACTTTCAAAGCACAAGCATAGCAAAGAATTTTGCGGAAGTAAATCAACTAATGGACTTAGCAGTTTATTTATAAATAGACTCTGAATCACATAGCAGCAAGTCTTAAATGAAAAATCCTTAATCATAGGTAATGAAAAGTTTTGTCATCCACTAAGAAATGAAGTTGCACGGATAACTCTATAAATATTGAATAATATTTCACAAAAGTTTTGATAATTTTTTACAAAAGTTTATATCTATAAACGGCTATCATTTCCACGTATTCCTAAAACAATTTAAGCTTAGAGAATGAAACTTAGATTTATGCTTAGATTTATGCTTAGACTTAAGCCGTTTTTGTAATCACTTTATAATAAACTGTTGCTTTTATACCCAAGTATCTATCACTATCCGGTATCTTGTGGCCCTTTTTTATTTTACTGTCTCTTTTTTCTAGTATTTCTGGTATATGAAGATTTCACTTTCAAATATTAATTATATGTGCTAGGATTTCTCTAAAAACACCTAGAAAGTTTATCACTATAAAGTCGGCATTTGATATTTGAAAAAGCAACGAAAACTGTTCCGAATTCCTCGAAGCTTTGCCTAATTTAGATAGGCATTTGCTTCGGCTTTTACCGAAATCGTGAATCAAAATTCGAATTGAATTATGTGATGGTTTTGGCTCATAAAAAGAAGTTGAACAGATGCAAATTGGCTCATTCAAAATTAGTTGCAACCTTTCTCTTTTGGCAACCTTATGTTCTAACATTCACCTTTTTTAATTTATTAATTGACAATTAGGTAAGTCGTTTAAGCCAAATTACTAATTTGCGCATAGCAGTACCACTAAGTTTAAGATCTAAGTGGCAAGTTTAATTAATGTAAGTAAATTATTTATGTGAAGCGGGAATCGAAATAATTTACCCACTACCTTGAGAATAGTCGAAATAACAAGAGAAATTCACTGATTATGTTATTTTATTATTAACTTATTAACTTTTTATTAACTTTTTAAATCTTTTTGTTAATTCAAAAATTTAATTTTCTTTTCATTCATTTTTCTATTTTTAATAAGTTCATTTTTACTAGAATATTCCATTAACCCAGAATGCCCATTGCCTTTTTTTGTTGTTTTAATTAGTCTCTGTTTCAGCTAATTTTTGCAATTATAAAGCTACATTAAAAGTTCCATTAACAATTAAAATTCTACTTACTGTGAATTTTTTATGCTCCAAATTTTATATTTGCTATATTTTTTTACACCAATTCAAGGTCAGATAATTAGAACTCTTGAGAAAAAAAAGTGAATAAAAAAAAGAAAGATTTTTATTGAATTTCGTCTACAAGGTCAAAAAAATTATGATTTGAATCTGTAGTAATGGAAATTGAAAGTTTTTTTTTCAAAAATTCTGAAAGATGAAATTCTTTGCCTATAGTTTTAAATATAATTAGATTACTGTAGATCGTTTTCCACATTTACTCACTATTTGGGTCTCAAACCATTGAATTATCTTTAAAATCCGTGTTTAGCATTTATTACTATGATCAAATAGTCCACAAATTTCGTAAGCTCTAATAATTTTTACCGAAAATTACTTTATTTTTGATTTTTTAGTGTTGAACATTTGAGTTGATGCTGTGACGAACTCTTGGAATATTTAAAAAATGAAAATTGTTAGGCATTAGAAATGATCGCATCCATGAGAAACCAGTTTTCAACGAAACACGTTTCCTTCAATTCATAAATTTATATTTGAAGAAAGATTTATTTTTGTCGACTTTGTGGTTCACTTCAAATCTATCCCTAAATTTAGAAATTGCAAAATGCTAAAAGTTCAATTCAATAGTTTTATAGTTTTTTTTCTATAATTCCGAAATTTTTTTGCATATTTAATTGCATGAACCTTAATAAAATTAGCCGCTCTCTTCTGAATGGCATTGTAGGAAGCAAAAGTAGGTATATTATTTCTATGAATAAACTATCATAGGTTGGATTATTGGACCTTGGTAGATGCAAACCTATCATTATACATAAAACCCGGATATTATTCCACCAATATAAACGTGCTTTTCTAAAGAATGGCTCTCATTATAATAGCCGGGCCAAATTAAAATTATTGCGTGTTGTAAGACGAAGAATATGACACAACATGGAATTTTTTTGCAAAAATCTGCTTGATAGTGCATTCCTTTTATTGATAAGAAATTGATAATTAAATGATAAATGGTATTGATAAATGGCAGGAAGCGAAAATGTCGAAAGAATTTCTGCGAGATTTTTAACGACGGGTTCCATCTTCGAAGAAAACACCACCATCGATTGCACAGTATTTCGGGCAAATACCTTTCTCGCCCTGCGCACCTGGTGGGCCTGGTGGACCAGGTTGTCCAGGCTGCCCATCTTCGCCAGGCGGTCCATCTGGTCCTGGTGGGCCTTTCGGTCCTGGCGGACCAGGAGCGCCATCACTTCCTGGTTGCCCGGGTGGTCCAGGTGGTCCTGGTGGTCCAGCATCACCTAAAATGTTTCAAATTTCTTTTGTACGAATATAAATTCAGTTTTCTTTTATGGATTATGAAATTATGATGAATTAATAGTTTCTAAATAAATGCAAGATATAAAAAATTATGTTTACCTGGTGGTCCTGGTTCTCCAGGAATAAGGGCCTCGCTTGGTGCGGGTGGTCCTGCGTCTCCAGGGGGCCCCGGTGGACCTGGTTCTCCTGGCGGTCCTGGTGGTCCTTTGGGTCCTGGTTCTCCTGGTGGTCCATCAGTGCCTGGCGCTCCTGGTGCTCCAGGTGGCCCTGCATCACCTGGTGGCCCCACTGGTCCTGGCGGTCCAGGTGGTCCCTGTGGGCATGGCTTGCATGGCGGAGGTGTAACAGGCTCACAGGGCTGACTCGGCGGCTTTCCTGGGCTACCTGGTAAACCCGGCGCACCAGGTTTACCTGGCTTGCCTGGCTTGCCTGGTGGACCTGCAGGACCAGGTGGACCAGGCAAGCAACAAGCTTCACACCCAGCTTGTGCTGTAATTCCACCACTTACACCTGCTTCACCATATCCAGCTTGACGAGCCGTGCGATTGCGAGAAACCGGAATATTTTTTAATTCATGTACTTCAGCCCATATATCCTTAGCTGAACCCTGAAAGCAATTATATTTACTTAAATCTGGCCATGTTTGACCTACCTATTCTACTTCATTTCTAATTTCTGTTTCTTAGATATGCAATAAAAAATTTAAATATTCGGAATTTCGACGATTTCTAATAAAATTCTAATTCTAATTTTTAAATTGAAAAAGTATAAATAAATATTTACTCGGCAAAAAGTAATTTCATTATGCATTTGTCGACGAACATGATGAACATAGTTATAAACCATAGGCAGTGTGACGCATACTGATATTACAGAAACAACAGAAAAAGTGACAGCAGAATAGGCCACAAAACGATAGGCTTTAATACGACTTTCCAAGTCCATTACTGCTCATTCAAATTCTTAGAGATGACAATGAGAAGTGGCCAGTGCGATCGATTCAATTCATCATTTATAGTGTTTTGCGAAGAACTCGTTCTTATAACAAAAACCAACCCCTTGAATTTAAGATCCCTTCAGGCAATGCCTACGCCGTTTCTCCGATATTTCCATTGAATTTGCACAATATCTTCAAATTTTTTCTTTTTCCTTTTGCAAAATTCCTCTAATCTTCTTTTTCGCTCCTCTTCATTTTTCTGTTCTTCGTCGATAAAATCATTAAATTTCCTTGTACAATGATAAATTAGTAAAAAACCGATATTCATGATCGCAAAATATTTTCATGAAGAATTTGGCTTGTAAAATTTACATTATTTTTAGTTTTTTCTTCATAATTTTTCTTCAAATTTTTAATTTTCCTAACAAAATTTAATCGATATATAACCAACTGTTTTAATAATACTCTCAATAATATAATTTTCTTGGGAGAAAAATGGAATCCATCAAAATGCGTTGAGAAAAATTAACCACGCCAATTATTTAATATTTGATTATTTATAGATTTGTATAGAGCCAATATACATTTCATATCTATATTATTAATTTTCTTCTAAAAGAACTTACTTTGACTTGCCAGAGAGCCACTTGTAAAGAATAAGTACGCTACAATCGAATTTAATTTTTAAAGACAGGTTTCTATACTTCTAGAATCAAGCCTAGAGTGATCAAAGCAGCATATCACTCGGCTGTCCTTCTCTGTGATGCTAAACGTACCTGGCATAATCTGTCATGTAAAAAAATTTTAAAAGGTAATTTTTTTTAGTCAAAAAATTATGGCACTAATGTGTCACGTTGGCAAAATTATTACACATCGTCTCATTATTAAATCTAGTTTGCTACTTTTGATTTACTTTTTTTTTTATTTATTATTTTTTTCGTTCCACATTTTCATATCCGACAAATATTTGTCAACGAATAGCTGCTGATCATGGAAATAATCAAATATACTTCTTTGATTACATATTATTTACTCAATGTTAAAAATTTTTTAATTTGATGGGCAAAATCAATAGTTTATTGCTTAATTTTTTTTCGACAAAAACCTTTAAACCTGCTGAAAGCTATTATCAATCACGGCACAAATATTATCTGTAAATGATGTGCAATGATAGAATCGATTAATTTTGGCCATTCAGAAAAAAAAAACTTGGTAATTTGTTGAAAAATTTCGCGCAGATTCTCTTGGCTTTTTTCTTCTGATGCACCCTCGATAAAAACAGGTTTATTCAAAATCATTGCGAAAGATTATTTTTTTGAGTGGTTAATTGGGGATCCCAGTTTGCATATATTTTTTTTATTGTCCACTCATTTTTTTCTTTTCTCAAATTAATTATTATACGCTTGGTCCAAATTTTCCAGAAAAATCCTGTCGCGGAGGAATTTCATTGATGTATTCAAATACAAAATTAGATTTGAACTCGATAGTAATTTTAAGCTTTTTGGAAAATTTAGACCACCAGGATTATGGGCAATGTCGAATTGCACTTCCTTTATTTGGAAATTTAAATTTGGCAACCTTTCAGGAATTAAAGCTATCGAGAAGTAAATTTGTTTGATTTTAAAAATTGAAATGCTTGATAATGCCAGATTTGCAGTGAAGTTTTCCAACGAAAAAAGTGAACTTTCTTAGGAAATTAGATATTTTTACAAATAAGAATTTGCCAAAATAAAATTTAATATATTCACGAACAAAAAAAATTGAATAATTCGCAAATGAATTTTTTGTTTTCATTTTCTTGTGAAAATTGATCATTTAATGGCATTAAAGCAAGATCGGCTCATAGCAAATACTTCCAGTTTTGGCGTACCACTCTAACAAGTTTATTTTGGATAGATGCTCGCAAACGGCACATATTCTTCTATAACAAAACAAATAGTTTTCTACTATTTGCCATATATTCTTTGATTCATCATATTTTAAAAAATTGGTATTTCAATGTTTTTCTAATTTGTAATTCTGAAATATGAACTTAAATTGACCTTATGAGATGTAAATTTTTAGAAAAAATTGCAATGACTCTGACAATTGATGAAAAAATCGTGAAATATTCGTTAAAATAGTTATTGGTGCATTTTTCGAAAAAAATCTATCAAACAAATTTCTAGAAATATATATTTCTAGAAAAATTTCTTCAAAAAATACCATTTCAACAATACCAAGTTGTTTCATTGAAAAGCGAATTCTATTTCTGTAAAATAGCAAATATCTTCTGCCTTGATTCATTCACCTAGTTATCTAATTTGGTAAATAGCTACAACGTCAACAAATAAATAAGATTAATCAAAATATGAATGCGAATTGAGGTAACGCATTTGAGACCTGTTTCCAACTATGGAAGAAAGAAAGACCTTGAAATTAAATTATATATACGCAAAGCTTACTGCGTTAAATTCGGATTAGAAAAATATAAATTACATTATATATAAATTAAATTATTTGTGCCTTAGATTATTCCAAAATAAAGGTGCTCAATAAGATGAGCTTGGTAGATGTATTAAAAATGAAATTTTTACAATACTGTTTTTTGTTATATTTCGCTTTTGCTATAAATAAGGGAAAATAGTGTCGTTTTTTTCATATATGATATCGGTTCGAGATGCTTAGAGATGAATATCTTTATCCTCATAGCCAATGGAACCAGTATAATCAGCATCAGTTCAAAGAAGAAATCTTTATCCATGGTATTTTAGTTCATGAATCTTCAAAAATGGTTGAATTGTCTTACAAAATTCGACGCTTATACATATTTTTGTTTCAGTTTTATATCTTTGGATAAATTTTAAGAAATTTAGATGAACACTGATTTGATCTGAATATCTATTTAAAAAAACAAATTGATCATAGAAGATAGTATTTAATGAATTTTTTATGAATTTTGGATGGCATAGTTTGAACGCTTTGTTGCGAATATTTGAAACTTAAAAAAACTGATGACGATCTTTCGATAAAATTTGCAGGATTTTCATATACCATAATATTGATGTATTTCATGCTCTAGTTATAAATTCGACGATAAAAATCTTAAAAAATCAGCAGAACCACGAAAAATATGTGTCATCTATGTGAAAAATAATATATGCAACGAAATTAATATCTTTTCAATAAAATTATGAAATTTTGAAATTTTGCTTAGAATTGCTAAATTATAAATTGCTATTTCCGTACTTCTTATAAAAAAACCTGGAACAGGATGATCGAGTGATATGATTGCTTCCATTCCTGTTGAGCACCATAGAATCGGTTCCTTTTAAGCTTATAATTAAACATCCCCAAGTTACCTGCTAATCCACCACCTGTATTTCCATCGATAAATCCCTGCCATTAATGACCAGCGGATTTAGTCTAGCCTAGCTTATTTGTTTTACTTTTGACTGGATATAAAAACATAAAAAGCAAAGAAAAAACTTTTATGTATTGCAATTCTGGTTACCACTGAGCCTTTATTGCCTTTAAAGGTTGTTTTTTTTCTTCCATTGGTTACATCTTGCCTTTTTTTCTTTTTTCATATTTTCACTCAACAATACGTTGCATTTTAAGATATTGAAAAAAAATCCCAATTTTAGTTAAATTCGAAGAGTTCAGTTTTTAACAGGAAGCATTCAATGTAATTAGTATGGAATCATACAAAATGCCAATGAGCAAATGAGCAATTTTAGTGATTTATTTTAAAAGTTCCTTCATTCGTGCCCCATTAGGCGATCAAAGAGGGGCATTTTCCAGCCAGTATTTGAACAAAACGAAACCAACCGTTTGATCGATTCCGCAAATTGTTAGTTGTAAATTAAAAAGTATTTAAATAAAAAATAGAATTTTTAAATGTTTTTCTAAATTCATAAATCTATTTAAATGACAATCAATTTCCGATTGATTTAATTCATTCTTCGCGAGAAAAACTGAAATTTTGCACGCAGCAAAATTTTTTTAAACCTTTTATACTTATTTTTGTTGCTCATTTTCTTAAATTTCTTTTGTAATCTTAATAATTAAATTTTGAAGAAAGAGATCTACAACCTGATAAAATTTCAATTTGCAATGAAATTTATTTTAATTTGACAAGCGTAAAATGCATAAAATTAAGGAAAATTAAAATAATATAATTAATATAAAATTAATATATAATTTAATATAAATGTAATAAACAATATAAATAAGTCGATGAAAATATAAACAGTTTAATTTTTTTTAAAATGAAGCAAATTTGCAAATTTATCAGAAATGATTTCATTTATATTCTCTATGCACTATACTCGCATAAAACTTTATCATAACCCAGTTAGGAACCCATAATTTTTGCAAATACATGATTCTTAATGGTCGACTGAACTGAAACCATACCAATTCTTAAAGCTTATTTTAAGGAATCGAAAGAAAACATAAACTATCATTAAACTGAAGGAATCATTGAATCTCTCATGGTATCTCTCATTGAACATAAATATAAGCATTACTTATTACTTATTCATTACTTAGAAATACAATCATTACTTGAGTGTTTCATTATTTAGTAAAAATGGAAAATATCCAGTGTTTCTAAACGAACGTTTCTAAAGATTTTGCCTAGCAACCCAATAAAATTTTTGATGGTTTTACTTTCAATATTTTCCACAGACGAAATAAATTGTTATTTTTTAATAGCTAAATGGATAGTGGCTCAGATATGTTTTAAATATGGTCAATACTATCTTAAGGAATCCTAAATAAAGCGTGATTCGAATGGAACTTCATTTTCTCAATTTTAAGTAAAAAAAATTATACTAGCTATATTTTTCAGTAGAATCTTCCTATTATAGGGTTATTCCTCTTCAAATTTAAAACAAATGCAATATGCGATTTGATTATTAATAACGTCCAGTTTGCGACTAAAAAAAGTGGGAATTGAGTAATAAAATAGTATGTCGTTTTCGAGGGTCATGAATTCGATTCTTGTCCTTTGACAGGAGTAACTCTTTCCACTCAAATGATAGTCGGTGGCATCCATGACCCAACTTGTTGGAGTTTAGGTATTAGAATCATCTAAGTTAGAAATGATCGAGGGAGATACCAGAGCTACTCTCGGGTCATGAAGTGAAACCTTTTGGAGGATTAGTTAGATTTTTCGCTTTCCACAATTCAAAACCAAGTTTTACTTTTTGAGAAAAAACTGATGAATAATAAGAAACATACAATAAGTTCATTTTTTAAAATAGTATCATTTTTACTGGCCTATGAGAAGCAAAAATTTTTAATCCCGTAATCATTTATAAAATCAAATAGCAAAAAAACAAGAAAATTCATTCTATAGAGATAGTCTTTGCTCTTATTCAGAAATAGAAAAGGAAAAAGTCTTAAGAAATAAGACCTAAGAAAAAGTTTCTACAATTATATAATGATATTAAGTGAAATGGATCAGTATAATATCATAAAGGACAGAATAACCAAGTAGAGTGGTTCAGATTATCATGTTGAAAGACTCATCTAATAGATATGAACCTATTATCTGGATTTAAAAATCCGATCAATCTACTGGTTTATCATCAATTTATTGACAAAAATTTCCAACCGCATTAACTGCGAGCAGAATTAGACTCATAAGAATTCATTAGCATATATCGAAAATGACGCTAACTGCTTACTTTATAATACCACAACAGAGGTCTTAAATATGAAAAAAATGGCGAACTTTCCATTAAACTGAATGCTATTAAATTATTAATTATAAATTATTATTAATAATTATTATTTAAGTTGTTTTTTTTAATATAAATTTATGTTAATTTTTGAAATCGTATAAAAGAATTTTCTAAAAAATTCTATTTTATTAAATCAAAATGTCGCTTATAATTACGGAAATGGACAAAAAATTAAGTGACGATCATGAAGAAATAGAAGAAAACGAATATAAAAAGATGACGGCGGAAAATGTAAGTTGAAAATTTCATCGACTCATACTGCAGTTATTCTTTAATTTCTTGCTGCTTTGAATAAAATATTAGTTCTCGTCTATAAATTGCCTCGATAATAATTACGATTAAACAAGAAAAAATAAGTTAATGGCAAATTACAAAAATAAAGAAAGAAAAATAACATAATTAATGAAAAATTATTTTAAATTTCAGTCACACCTAACTCGATATCAAACACTTTTAAGAAATCATTTGTCGAACTTGAACGATCAACTTGAACTACAAATTAAAGATCAGGTTTTTTCTCTTTTTTTCGCTGTTGGATTTTAGAAATGAGTTCTTGAACATAATCAGGATTGTCGAAAATAATTACAATTAGGGCTATATCCTAAAAAGATTCATCGATTTCGGCTCCAAAAAAAAGAGAAAATTCACCTGTAACGGTGGTTTTTTCGTAATGGACTGATACGAGGTAATAGAAGTATTGTGAGAGAATTTTTCGCTTTTTGACTGGAAGTCATCACAGCCATTAAGGAAATTTCCCTACATTTGAAAATTCAGGCTCGATAAATATTCGAAAACGAAAAGGAAAAGAAGAATAAAGGGATTTAATCAGAGAAGAATGTTTCAATCAGAGAAAACAAACACGAGATGTTAAGATGTATTAATAATGTTATCACAAAGCATCGCCTTCGCTGGTTTGGATACGTTCTCCGTCATCCACCACAAGAGTTGACGTATACTTCCGTTACTTGCTAAACCATGTGATGGTTGGCGTCAAAAACGAGACGAACCAATTAAGACCTTGACTGATATGGTCAGAAAAGATTTTACGTATAGATGGACCAGCAATATATGGACTTAGACGATAGAAAAAGGAATGGCTTCTATTACTGTCGACGATAGTATCAGATTAGGTAGTTTGGAAACGTCTTATCTTTTCAGCCAATAGAGCCAGCCTAACCAGTGAAAGTGAAAACTGTTAGCTGATTTAATTCATTCAGCCCTTCTATTCACATTCCGATCTTCACAATAAATTGAAAACAGCTGAAACGGTTCGAATAGTACACTAATTCTTCATAGCATGTCCAATCACTCGAGGATTGCTTTGCTCCAGTCATTTGGTGTTAATTCTTTCATTCTTCCACACGCTAGAGAATATATTTGCTTAAAGTTGTAGAGGATATTGGACAGCAATGAAGAATCCACTTCGGAAACTGCTTTCTCCGGAAGTTTTATTAGCCTTAAGTTTCTGAATGATGAAGATTTCTAGCTCTCTTAATGGCTTATAGACCTAGGGCCTCCTGATATGCATCGTCCAGCAACATTTTCGGATAGTTGGGCCGTTGATCCCGACACCCAATTGCACTTAAGAATGATATTCTTTTTGATAAGTATGAATATAAATTCGATCGGGAAAGGATGAAACCGGTTTAAAATATAATTGAGTACTTTATATTAGAATTTTAAGCGTTTGCTTATCAAGGAAAACAACCAATCTATTGAAGAAAAGCAACAAAAACTGGAAAACATCAAACGAGAATGCAAAAAATTTAGCGTAAAAAACAATGTGAAAAGCGTCGAAATTGATGAAAAGCAAATTGAGCGACAGCAGTTGATGGAAAATATTGTCAGTATTAATAAAAGAATGGAGAACGATGATAGAGAATTTAAAAGCAATGAAAAAAAAGGTTCAAAATATTTTTCCTTATAAATTATGTACAAAATAAGTAAATAATTTATTTTAGCATAAATTATGCATACAAAGATGTTTAAAAATTTCTGAAACAAAAAAAAATTGTGCAAATGTTAGTCTTCCAGCTTTTACATCTATTGAAACATCTAAACACTCGCCATGTTGATAACTGAGTCACTCTTCGCCTTAATATTACATGCAACGATCATCAAACACTACAACACAGTCTACTCTGTTTAGGTTTAGGCTTCTTCGTCTGCATATTTCTTAGGCTCAAGCAAATTTATCGTTAGAATTTTTTCATTTTAGTTTCAAAAATTTCTTTTCAATATCTAAATGGAGATAGCGAAGAAATTTAAGTCATATTCTAAAAATTTTTAAGAAATCACAAAATCAATAAAAAATAAGCAACAAATAATTGATAATATGATGTTAATAATTGAATTATTTGAGGCTTTTGATAAGGATGTAAAACGTCGAAACGTTTAGGTTTGATGTTATCAAGATATATATTTTTCCTTTTGCGCTTTATCTTTATCAGCCAATAATTTTCATTCCATACTGTCACAATAATATAACAATAATAATCAAAGTAATAGCAGGAATTTTCAGAAATAGAACTGCGCGAATTACTTAGTAAAATCAATATTAGTATTGGTGATGCATTTAGTATAAATCACGAATTGAACAGAAATGAAGAAAATAATGTGAAAGTCACAAAAAGAATTTTTTCACAATCACAACATCAGTTTAATTCAATGAACAATGAGAAACTCTTACAAGTTTGTTTCTTGAATGGGTTTAAAATTAAATTACGGATAATGAATTGGCTATATAAAGTTTCCCGAACGCCAAATGAGACTGATATGTGAGGCAAACTCTCAAGTGACAAAAGCATTTGTTAAAAATCTGCTTACAAATGCGACTAATTTATAGATGAAAACAGAAGTAGTGAAGTACTAGAAGAAAATTTTTTTAGACCAATTACATAAATCGTCTGAAGCGCGATGTAAAAGCAGCGGAAGCTGAATTATCTACAACAGCTAAAAAATTGGATAGAATTGAAAGGTTTTATTTCCGTAATTCATATTAATTTGTGATGAATTTTCCAAAAATATGTTAATCTATGAGCGTAAAAGTTTTATTTTTTTCATACCTTTAATTCGATTATTTAAGAAAATTAAATTGTACGATATTTAAAAAATCATGACCTTTATTTGGACATGACCGAGTAACTCATTTAAAAATAAGGAAGCCAGTTTTTAAGTACCATACACTTTATTTAGGGCAAATGTCGATTTAATAACTTTTTATCCTCCAATTTAAATTTAAAGGATGTTAATATAAGGACACATGGTTCAATTTTTAGCATTTCTATATCCTAAATTTAAAAGTAATTCAAAAGTAAGAAAAATTCTCAACCCAAAAAATTTTCTTAACAAAATTCGCATAAAAATTCTTTTCCGAGGAAAAACTGAAAGAGAAGCGAATTTGGGAAAATTAATGAAAAAACTGAGGATGATCGAAGAGGACTCAACTGCATTAGAAAACCAGTGGAAGAATTTAACGAGAAATCAAAAAAGAAGTGAAGAAAAAATTCGTTTCAATGAATCTTCTGCTTTGTAAGTCTTCGTTTCTTGTTTTCAGTCGCAGTTAGACCAGATTTTAGCATTTTAATTAACGGCTAATGGTACTGGGCTTTAAAAATGCTTATGCGTTGAGTCCTAGCTCCCCATGTTGATCAACAATGATTGCACGTAACTCCTCCTCTAGCAGCTAGCACCACTATATTTCACTGACGATTTGAAAGTTATTGAAGCCACTTATGTTGACAATTTCTAAACCTATGTATACATCGCTGAGCTATCTATACATTCAAAATCTTTCTTCCTAGGTTCTTCTGGCTGGCCCTCCTCACTTACTTTTGATATCATCCATCACAGAACTTATCAAATAGAAAAATTTGTGCCAACTTCTATAAATAAGGAAGAAAATGTCCTAACAAGTGCAAACGACGCTTTACCAATATTATCAACATTCCTAATGTATTACCAATATTCCTAATGTAGATGGTTTCGAATGAAGGCGAATGCAATCATGTGAAATTTTATCCACTTGCCTAAGAAAGAATACTTTTTAGGTAAGAATGGTTAAAGGCAAATAGCGTTCTGGTAACTTCAATTTTCACTGATTACATTGCAATCGCATAGTTGAATTGTGCGTGGTACAACAGATAGATTCGAACTTTCGTTCTGAAGCTGATTTCGCCGCGATTCTACTGAGATTCACCCAGATGAAAGAATATAATTATCTGGGCTGCAGCTTTCGCTGTGGATTTAAAATATTTAAGCTTAATATTTACGTTTGACAGTTCTCGATTCCAGCGAAATAAATGCACCGCACAAAATCATTCTTCCTAAGAGATTCCATACCACAGGTGACACTCGTGTCATTATTCTCATACGACTATTGATGAATTTTAGATAGACTGCACTGATTTCGGTATATACGACGAAAAAAATTCCATCTTATTTATTTATAATTATTTATAATTATTCCGTCTTATTTATAATTATCTATGTGTTGCAGCCAGCGAAAATACCATCAATTTGTATAAGGTGCATGGTACTATATTCCTGACTGATTTCCACACCTTCTGATTGCTGGCAAATAGTGTTCATAAGCTAATTTGTCGCGTTGTTTAAAATTATAGGAAAAAAGATGCATACCGATTAGTATTCCGAAAAGTTATCTCACTTCCCATACATACCTGGCCTGATATGACTCAATAAAATACTTTAATAAGTATGATTTTTTTCCCTGGAACATTGTCATATTGCATTGCTTCTCACAGCATCACCCTGTTGATCGATTCAAAAGTGAAATCGATGAGGCACATAATGGTAGGTTGCTGATACTTCCACTGCTTAAACGATTTTCCAGCTCCATTCTCAATGTAAAAACTTGGCCAGCAAAAAACTTTAGCAACTTTAGCAACATTTTAGCAACTTTGTTAATAAATAAAAAATTTATTTATTTATATTCTTCTTTCTTCTTTTTATTTATATTCTTAAATTTATTTATATTCTTTCCTTACGAATGCCCTTATTAATACCCTTTTTATTATTTAACCCTTTTTACAATTTACTGAAAAACTCATATAATGCAAAATAGTGTAAAATGAAAATTTTAATTTTAATTTACTCATCTTATAGGAAAGAAAAAGAAAATATAAAATTGCTAAAGCGGAAAGGAAAACAACTGGACGCGGAACAAATTAAAATTGAGCATGAAATTGAGGAAATTGAACGAAAAAATTTTTTCATTCATGAAATCGGAATTTTTTCAAAAAAATTGGATAATTTCGCCGATTTAATTTCACGAAAGAAATTGATTGTAGAGAAGTTTAAAAAAGATTTACAAAGCGCTGAAAAAAAATCGGTTAAATTTTCTCCTCAATCTTTTGAAAATTTTTTCAGAAAATTCAAATCCGAATCGCATATTTTATGTTTATATATTGTGAGACATTGCAAGATCGCACCATTTCTCCGCCGAGCATGCGTTGATTAGATTACCATTTCAAGTATCATTATCCCTTTTTAGTCCAAGGCCAAAGCAAAAGATCCGGATGGTGCTGGAAACCTATGTTTGCTATCGTGGATTTTGCCACGATACGATAGTTATGATATAAATTTATAACTTAATTATTTTATAATTTTACAATATATTGGCAACTTGCCCACATGTGAATTAGAAGCTCATTCGTCGATCATTTGTCGAAGCTTATTATTGTTGTAAATAAGGCATAATATACTTTATAATATACTTAACTCTTTCGCAACAACCTTTCTGGTCCATCTGAAGTCAACACTTCACACGCTCGGAGAATGCCATATGTTAGAAAGCGATCGAAACTCGACGATCTTTCACCATATTTGCGATTATTTTTCTTCCATTTCAAAGTCCATATTCTTTCCTTACGAATGCCCTTATTAAAACCCTTTTTATTATTTAACCCTTTTTATAAATGGAGCTTAAGTCTTGAAAGTTCAAAAATTCATTGTCTCGGATTCTTGTCACAACTTCTATCGCCAATTTCTCGCATAATTCCAATCGCACTTATAGCAAATGAGGCAAGTCTAATTACTACAAATGGTGAGTGCAAACCAGTAATCCTACTTTTCAAATGGAACTTGAAATTTCTTCGATTTATTTAGCTGAAAAAGTGTTAGAAAAGAAGCAGTAAGACAGTAAGACGCATGTGCCAAATAATATTAAAGCTTGAGTAAATAATTTGTTGAAAATGTTAGTTGCGAGTTTTTCTTCAAAATTGTATATCTCGATTTCTTCTATTTAAGCATTTTTTTCTGTCTCAGTGCAGCCATATTCCAAAATTTTCTTACACAATGTTGATTTTAATTTGTCTAAACAAACAAAGCAAATAAAGGTTCAGCGCTCACCATTTCCAATTAAGCTAGCTCCGTTGGCTAAAAGTTAGAAATTAGAGAATCATTTGTATCTCAACCTTAATTTTCTCACAGATTTATTTTCTGCAAGCTTAAAATAAATTCTTGTAGATTGATTTAAAATTTAAACTTAGAATTTAAAAATCTATTTTCATTGAGCATTTTATCTTATAAAATTTAAAGGCAAATGCGCTAAAGCAAGAAATAATTTCATTGAAAAAAAAAGAAGAATATATTAGTGACAATATCAAATCACTTGAAGCTAAGCTCAGTGCTTATAACAATAATATTAACGAAAGCAAACAAAATATTGAACAATTTGCGAATGTTGTCGAAAATTTGGAAAGAAATTTACAGCACATCCAAGAAGGTTTGAATATAAGTTGAAAAATTTTATTATTTTTATTATTATTAAAATTATTATTATTAAAATTTTTCAAAAATTTATATAAAAAATTGAAATAAATTTGTAGTCTGCAATAAAGAACATAGAACATAATAAAACTCACTGTACAGAAAAAAGGATTTACAGCACTACGAATTTTCGTTGGGAGCACGGTGATTCCTCTTCCAATATTCCTTTATAAAAATTCCTTTTGGGAGTCCGCTCCACTATCTTTTTTCTGTATATAGATTTAGCTTTCCTGCCACGGGATACTTTTTTTTTCTTATCAATATTGTAAAACTCTGCGGCCAGCGTTCTACTTTTTATTTTTCTCGTTACGAACCTCCTACCTCAGACTTGGGTAATTAAAGCTTTATTAGTAAAGACGTAAATATATACAAGAAAATAAAGCGAAGTAATTGCCCTATTACAAAGAAATAATCAACATAAAAAAAATCAAATATAAGATCTAAATGCCCATAACTCATCGACCGCTCCCCCACTCATTTTCCCCATAAAATGACCAAAATTGATCTTTTGGGAGCTTATATTTAATTTAAGATGGGCGGATGCCCACAGCTTTTTTCGCCTTTCGGCGACATTCACAGAAAGAATATCTGAAAATTTATGAAGGATTCTCTTAGAAAAAATAAAATTAAAGTTTTACATAAAATTTGGTAGAATTTAAGGAATTAAAATGGGATCTATATTCCCTGTAATACCTTCTACTGATAATATTTGTATTTATTGAATATTAAACAAAAATATATTTACAGAAAGTGTTAAATTAAGTGAAAAATATAAAACTGACAGAAGTACAAATGAATTAAGGGAAAAAACAAAATTGGAAAGAAATAGCAATATTGATTTAAGGCAAAAAATAAACATTGATCGACAAAAAGCTGAAAAATTAAGGTTAGTAGTTGGTAAGATCAATTAAGTTAATTAAGTTTTAAATAAATAAACTCAAAGAAGTCATCCAGGCACCCTTCTTACTAATTCTTTCTTATTTCAAAACGCGTGAAATAATGACCATATAATTTCTTAATGGAAGGATAAGAAAAATTTTCAAAATGAAAAAAAAATGAGTCTAGTTCCTTATTTTATTAATATTAAAGTAAATAGAATATAAAAAAATAAAGAAAACGCATTTGCGAATTTTTCAGATGTGAACTTGAAGTATGGAAGGAAAAGCTGGAAGATTTAGAAAATGGCGAAAAACTAGCGATGTTTGGACAAAATGACCATCGCATAATAGAAATAAGGCAATTAAAAAATTATTACTCTGATATACAAAAAAAAATTCGCAACGTACAGAAGGTTAACTTTTTTCCTGCCCTTAATAAAAATTAATAATAAGAAATAAGCACAGAAATTCTCGAAGAATCTCGAAATTATTGTAATGTAAGAAATATGCCACTAAAAAATAAAAAATTTCTAAGGAACTCGAGATGTGCGCTTATCGAAGAGATTTTGTAGTCGATAAAGCGAAAACAACAATTTCTAGGAAGAATCAAGTTCGATCACAAGCAATTTTGGAGATCCAGAATATAAAAAAAAAATTAAAACTACTTCAGAAGGTCATCACACTACTATTGAATTTTCAAGCCTTACAAAATAGTTTATTTTTCCGTTTTTCCTTGCGACATTTCTAATCCCATTTCTTTAATTATAAAAAATTTCCAGTTTTTTAAATATATAGATAATTCTTTACCATAGTCTTCTAACACCAAGTTTTAGGATATTATTGATACTAATGCAGAATATGTCAAATTGCGCAGCTCTACCTAAGATTTTTGGAATGAAGTTGTTTTTTCTTCACTTTTCTATGCACTTTTTAAAGTAAATTTTAATTGAATAATGCAATATGCAATAAAAAAATAATTAAATTTATTTTTCTAAGAAATTTTCAACCCAACTTTCATTCTAAAAAATTAATTTTTTACAATTTTTGAGAAAAAATATTCGCATTTACCCTTGCTTCTTTGATACCTGTCATTTCTAATCTACTGATTCCACTAATAACGAAGAAAATGAGGCAGAGAGCCATTTTCACTTGGTGGTAGAAATAGGAATAGATGAATCCCAAATGCTACTTGGTTTTCATCTTTTATTTTTTATTAAATGTATTCAAACAAACGCTCATCAAAAGCAGAAATCGAACTTATGACCTAGTCGACCTATCGCACAACTTGTCAGTAAGATTAATGTATAGCCAATTGCAAAAGAGAAAATATTTATTAGTACAAAAAATCTCGAATCATCCTGCAGTTTTCCATAAAAAATATAATGACTCTATGCAAAAAAAATTAAACTACTTTTATGAATTTATTAAAAATAACGAAGATAGAAAATATGCATATAGAATAAATTAGGTAAAATAATCTAGGAATTATGCAGAATTCTTCGCTAAGGCCTTTGGAGCCAACTCAACCTTTCACTATTACTAAAAAAAGTGGCGCTTAGATAATGGCTATTATTTCACAGCTATTTCTATTACATTTTTTGCAAATTTATACAATATAAAACATTTATACAATATATAAAACATAAATTCAAATAAAATTTTTTAAATTTATTTAACCATTTGAAAATGACAGTGCTTTTTCAAGTAAAACTTGTAAAATCTATGAAAAAAAACTAATATTTTTCCACAAAAAAACCACAATATTAATTATAAAAATAATAATGATAATAATAAATGATAATATTAAGTGCATATCGAAGTAACAATAATATCTTTAGAATATATTTCTTTGTCTTTTGTTGATTGACATCAAACTTTGCAAATTTTTTTCGGCTAAAGCTATTTCTTACAATTGAAGTTCACTCAACGACTTAAATTTTATGACTTGCCATCAATAAGAACAAGAAAAATAGAAATGGCAACATTGAACTACCCATTCCAACTGTATTTTAATTGCAGTTATATGTGGATTTAACTTCTAATAATCCACATGAATGACGAATAAAATTGAAATATATTTAATAAAATAATATCGAAATATAAAAAAACATACTAGAGAAAGAAGAAATACATTGAAATTAGAAATTTGAAAGTTCAATATCAGAGCCCTCTCTAAAAGAAAAAAACTAGTTCATATATTTATATTAATAGCAATAAGTAATAATAAAAGAAATAAGTCGAATTTATTAATCAGTGTCCAGAATTTCTTTGGTTTTGCCACATAGTTCGTCAAAAACGCTTCTGAGTGACTACTCAGAAGCGATAATTAATCTGCAACTAATAATTCATTCACTAGTTTCTTAGCAAAAAATAGTAGTACCAAACTTTTTTTCACATGAAACAACAATATGGTATAGGCACAAGAAAAAAAAATGAGATTTACTGTAACAAATTAATAAGGAAAAATGCAAAAAAACCGGGTTATTGATAGCGAATAATATTGAAATTAAGCGAATGGAAAAAGGAGAAAATGAAGGCCAAAGAGGTCACAAAAACGATTTATGAAGATTTTGAAGAAGAAAAAGCACGGTACTCGTTGAACAGAAACAAAAATTCAAGAAATTAGCAATAAACGAAGAAACATGAATTTGGTTTATAAAAATCTTCAACATCCATTTGCCATTTTAAAGATAAAATGAATTTTTTTTTAGCGAAAATTTCTTAGTTAAGCATTTTTAAGCATTTTTTAAATTTCAAGAATATATTTAAATACGGTGAAACTATTATCTAAAAAACATTACCAAGATTAAAATATACTAAATATATTAAAATTTTAAAAAAAATTTTTTTGCCATATTCCATTGAAATTTTTTGAAATTAAAAAAGTTTCTAATTTAATTTAATAAAGAAACTTTTAACACATAAAAACAGAATTAACATAGAATAAACATAGAATTCTAATTTTACGACATAAACAAATAAATTACAAATTCGAAATTCTAAATTGTTAAATTTAACAATTTTAATATGAGCGAATCATTAGATTTAAAAGAAATTCCTCGGAAAGGTTGATTATTAAAGATTAATGAGAAAAAAATTTTTTTAGCGATAGAATCAACTAAATGGATGATAAAATAAAAAATAACTAAATAATAATAATTTGTTAATAATAATTTGTTTGTTCTTTGCAAATAATTTGTTAAATATTTTCGTTGCATAATGGAGAAAAAAGCCAAAAAATAAATTATATTAAACTATTAATTAAACGAAACGATAAAAACCATGTGAAAGCCAGCAAAAAGAAGGAGCTACATTTAACTGAGTCGCGTAAGACGAGAAACCCGAAAGAGGCAATTTTTTATTTTCTTCGACGAAACAGGACCAAAGGATCTATTAATTATGATGATCACAAGCTGCGTTGACTGATGATGGTGCTCCAGTTCGATGAACATGAATACAACACCACCCACGACCGTTACGCTTTTGCCATACACGCGTTTCTTGAGCTTGACGAGATCGTGCTTCACCCATTCTGAAATTTTGCGATTATGGTAAAGATATTTTTGTTCATAAATACGACTGAATAAAATCACTTTAATTTTTACAAATAAAGAATCAGATAATATTTTAATTTTTAAATTATTTCCCATTCTTTTAATAGCTTGGCTCTTTCCATTCACCATTAGGCTGACACTGCCAGAATGTCGTTTGTAAAGATGGTTCCCTAGCAACACTTTCCACTATGGATTTTATTTTTAAATGAAAAAGAACCAAATTTTGATGGTATAATATTAGTGAAAGCATCATTATACTCGATCATCTCTTTTATTTACAACTTAGATCGATGAAATTCTACAGCGATTTGAAATGAAACTTGCTCAAGATGAAAGGAACAAATTTCTTGAATTTCATCAAAAAAAACGAACTTATCAATGTACTGCGTTAAACGAATATAAGCAATGCATGCTCCTTCATCACCGATCATATGAACATTTGGATTAAGTAAAGTTGTGTGAATTTTCGGACTTCGACTTGTAGAACCTGAATATTTAAACTAATCTTGCCCATTGAATTAATCGTAAACAGTAGAAATACTGTTCTTTCCAATGAAATGTTTGAAATGTAATACTAAGATTTTAAAAAAATGTAATTAAATGAATTATTGCAATTTTGTCAATTACAATTACCCGATTTTGTTCTTCTAACGTGGAATAAAATCACTGACTTTTCCATAAAAACATTATTTTATATTTAATTTGGAAACAATATTAAAAAATGATTTTAAAAAAAATTATATACTTGAATCAAAATAAAAGCGATGGAATTCCATTCCTTCAATAAGGTTACCCAAACCTTCCGGCTCAAAACATGTAATCGATGGATCGCATAATTTTCTGCAAAAAATTTTTGGAAACACCTATTTCTTTAACAAATTCGACGCAAAACGATTCATCATTTTTTGTGGTCCCACATGTAGGTAAATAAAGTAATTGGTTATAGCTCATCACTTCTGGTTAGGTTGGGGTCCACAGGCTATTTATGCGATGAGAAATGCTTGCCAGAGAACAACTCTGAGGAAGAAATGCAAGTATGCTTCAACACCAGTATCTGAACTTTTATCTATGGACTTTTATCCATCACTGTTTATTAAATTTTTTCACCACTCTTTATTAAATTTAAATTTGTTCAGTTCGGGACCTTGATGTCCCAGACGATCAACAACCACTCAACTATCCAGTTTTTTAATAATTGGAATTGGCAAAAAAAACTAACGAATAAGCATCGTAATCCTTGAAAGCAATAGCATCTAATAACTGTTGAGTTACTCGAACAATTTCTTGTTTTTGTGCTGAAATATCTTATTATTTTATTAAATTTATTTTAAAAAAACTCAAAATAAATGACTTTTTTTGCTCTTTTTTAAACGATGATAAACGCAAATAATATCAAATAATAGCGACTGAGGAACTGCAGTATATCATATTTAGTGAATGCCTTATTCACGCATCGGGGTGATCGAAATCTCAGGAACTGAAAAATTTTAAAACTGATTGCTTCTCAATAATACCCAGATATAAGTACGCAGAAGAGATCGATTAATTTTAAAACAGGAAGCAAACGGAAGTAAAAACCAGCGTTAAGAATTACCGCGTTACAATGCGAGGGTTCATTTTTGTCTCTCACAAGAGCAAATCTGCCATTAAGAAGTCCGAGTGATACTGATGACTCAAGGTGTTTTCTATCGTTAAGTGCCTCCCTTAGAAAAATTTCTAACCGACAACAAGTGGCCAACAGAGAAGCCAGCCTAACCAGAAGTCGTGGTGTTAACTATTTTTTACTTTACTAGTAGTAAAATTTTTAAGAAAATTTTTAATCAGCATTCAAATTTGAAATAAACAAAAGACAAATATAAATTAATAAAATAATTAAATTTTAAAACACACAAAAATCACTATTAAAAAAATAGAATAGAAAATAGAAAAAAAGAAAAAAATGTTGAAAATTAAAGCAAATAAAAAATCAATTCTAATTTTTATTTTGTATAATGAATTATTGCGAATTCATTTATTGGTTCTCTCTTTTCCTTTTCCTCGTCAATTTTTCTATAATTAAAATAACCTTCGCTATTTTCCCAAGTGGAATTATTTAGCAATGTAGCAATATTAACAATATTAACAAATAACAAGATTCTTTTCGCCAACAAGCGAAATAATAATTTAAAATTTTTTGAGATAAAAATACCAATAGTTCGATTCATCACCTTCTTTTAATAGCACACCACTTAATTTGGTTGGTTCCATTGGCTAAGATGAGCTCGAACCACTTACGACGACAATCCCCACCCGAATTCCGTTTTCAATAACAAATTTACTCACACCAGTGGGCGCAAATACTTGGATTAAATCAACAAATAAAGAACAAAATTCAAAATTTCAGTTCTCAGTTTTTTCAGTGATTTTTTCCTGCCAAAATCAAAAACGTTAAATTAGTCGATGTCGATTTGCGTTCAAAAAGAATGTTTGATTGGAAGGATAAATCTTCAGAAATAATTCTAAAAAACTGACAAAAAATCAATTATCGGATACGAGCAATTTCAAGTCAAAATATTAAACAACACTGCCAAGCAGTTCTATCGTATTTAGCAGCAAATTACAATTTATTCTAACAGTGCTATCTGATACTACAAGCAACTACCGAAAGAAATAGCAACTGGCAAATTTTAAGCTTCCATAAATGAGCAACAATAAAAACAAAATCGAAACTGCTTTGTGGATCTATTAGTGGCGAATTCATTTTCCTGGAAAACATTCTTTATTAATTTATCGTTTCCCTTTACATTTAATGTTTGAACTATTTGATTAAAAATTCCACTGCTACTGATGATTCATTGCTGAACTAAATATCAAACTACATATCTTCACGCATCGCACCATCATTTCTTCGACACCATAAGCACTCATTTGACACAAAGTGATAAACATCCTCTGAGATTTTGCATATCACCGATTCGACTTTAGCTCAGAACCGCAATAATCTCAGAAAACAGGATTAATTCATTCTAAACTAAATGTTGAGATGACAAACATTTATAATATATTTATAAATGGTCGGTGTAAATGGTCACAAGTTTATCCCAACTTTAAACTGGAATTCGGGTGGAGCTGATGACACATCTTCTTTTGCCTTCAAGTGATTCTCTGATGAAATCTCTGGTTTCATCCAGGTAGCTAGTAGAGCCAATCGAACGAGAACGAGAATGCTCTTAGAAGAAAAAAATAAAGAAGAAACGGCCAAAAATATCGCTCGTGCATGTAAGAAGAGAAAAAAGCTGTAAAAAAAATTTATTAAAGAAAAATTTCTGGTTGAAAAATGTTAATCATCAGTTATTAAAATAAAACGACTTTTGAAAAAAGTAGGAAAAAATATAAAATATAAACCGACGATCACTCATAAAAAGTTTTTTATGCAAATGAATTTAAAATTCCATTCCACTTAAAATTTTTTTTCCTCTTTTGTTCTCATTTCTCTGTTTTTCCTAAGATTTCTCCACTTTTTAAATTTCTAAATTTTTTAAAAATTTTCTTTGACAAAATTTTTATTTATGAATCCTACAAATAATCAGAATTAAAAGAAAAATTAAAGAAACAAGCAGTAGGAAATTGAAAAATCCACAATCAGTGTAAAATAAAAATGGGAAGAAAAAAAGCGAGAAAAGAGCGATAATTTAAGAAGCTTCGACAGGTGAATTATTTAAAAAATGATTTAAAATGCTCAAATATTCGCTCAACTGAGATAACGAAATAATATATGCTACTTCTATAAAAAAAACGGCTCAGTAATCTCAGAAAAAGTGGGCAAATCTCCAAATCACCCAAATCTCTCTCTCTCTCTCATTTAAATTTCGTTTTATTTAATAGAATTCCACCATTCACCATTTATGGTTTGATTGGCTTCATTAGCTATTAGGCTAAGAAATTGTCACTTGTCACTTAAACATTTAGTAATACATAAAACATAGATCGCTTCCTTCAAGCATTATTCGCCTCTCACGTAATAAACGATATACAAAAAAATTAAAAAAAAGAATAGTAAGTACTTCAAATATCGTGCAAGATGAAATCATTTGATGCACACGACAGCATATATTTCATACGATCTCCAGACGAGAACCCCTTAGCCAGCAAATTTTTATACTGCACACGAGAAGATAATCAAAAGAGATTCGAGATGAACCTTCTTCTTCCTTCATTCGAATAGGCGAGCAAGCAGCAACCACATCTTTTCGTTTAAATATTAAATATTTTCTCAGGCAAATCAAATCAATCAAATTCTTTCTCTCGATAAAGCTTGTTCACTGCACTCCTAGATCTCTAGGATTCAAGAAGTTACTTTGACTTGGCCCTTCTTCTACAGCAGAATTTGAAAATCACACATATACACACGCATATACTAAATATTTTCCCACATCAATAAATTTTATTCTCAACACACTACTACTTTACACTATAAACAAAATATAGACTTTTATCAAACAGCTGGAAACATTAAATAAGATAAACCCTTGGATGGGATCCTTCCTACCAAGAGACAGAAATTAAATAGTCATGTCTGAATTAAGTGAAAGAAATCCCATTGCATGTGTCCTTATCCATTTCAATCCTTAAAATTTGTACAAAGAATTTATTGAAGGAGGTTCATTTTTATTTTATTCGGATATGCAAGATAAATCAGGATTTTGTTATTGCAATCGATGAATTAACTATAAATTTTTTTTAAATGACTATAAATTTAAGGACGAAGCAATAAGAATTTGGTGAGAAAAATCTGATCTAAAGAACATTTGGTAGATTATTTGGCAGAACTCAGAATACATTAGTTCGTCGAAAATTTATAAATAAGTGATTTTACCTTACATTTGTTGGTTCACTTTCCTTTTTTTATTTCAGTTCATGGAAGTAATTAACTTTTTGTGCCAAGAAAATTTCTCTTCCGGAGAATAACAGCTAATAAAAATGATAAAGAATTTTCAAATGCCAACAAAGATCAGAAAACATTAAAAAATCCTAAGGAACATATGATAAAAAGAAAAGAAAAAACAGGAATTATACCATCAAAAAAAAATTCTAAGAAAAGCAAAAAGTAAAAAGCTATCGGACTAAATAAACAGAAATATCATGCAACTAATCTATTAAAAATAATGGTGGAGCGTTCATCACAATTTCGAACCTGATAAAGGATTTGGCCTTGAACTGTTTCCATTATTGATGATCACCATTCGCTCATATTGCTTTTGAGTCGGATCCACACGAATCACTGTATTCTCGTGATTGAGCGTTTTCCCCGCTGAGACATACATATTTTATTTATTTGTTTCCTCATATCGTTTATCATTTTAGTTAAAATATATCAGGTAAGATGAAAGATTTTCGATTGGAAATTAGAAATTTTGAAAGAATTTGCTCAATTATCAGTTGAGCTTTATGAGACAAACCATTGTTTTGTTTCATGCGAGCATGTGTATACTCCAAACAATACTGTTTTCCATACACTTTTCATTATTATTTGCTTCATGTCCGTTATTCATTTACTCTTGTAATTTGTTTTTACAGTGATTTATCATTATTTCCTAATGGTATAAAACACAATCTATATTACATTAATAATATAATATTAATAATAAAATATATATTATATATTATACATATATGCTAACTTTTTATTAGAATAAGAAATTTTAATATAGTGGCGTTTTTGTAGCATTTATATAGAGAAAAAAATAGCAAAAAAATTTAGAGGCAATAAAAGGATTCCAAAATATTTTACATAAGCATGGCTATTGAACGGTGGCAAAAGAAAAAACGAATCAGAACAATT